TAATAATATTACTATTACTAGGTAAATACTTTCTGTGTTTTTCTCTCGGTTTGAATTTAACTTTGAACATCTTCAGTAGGTTTTAATAAATATCCATGTATTCATTGGTATTAACGACTTGGTCCTTCTGCTCATCGACCATTATTATCGGAAATTATTCCCAAAAAAACTTTTCCACCTTGTAAAAAATCTTGAAAATTTAACTCTAGGTTCCTTCAAAATTGCATTAATTGAAATTCAAAAATATTAAAGATATTTTAATATTATACTCAATTATTTTTTGTACCTATGCACAATAATAATAAAATAAAATATAATACAATTTCAGAAATGTACTACCTAACTATATTAGCGTTATGTGTATATACAACTGTCATAACATTAGACATTTTGATAGAAGATCAAGGTTCCCACGTTTTTTTTCTACCTTAAATAAAAAAAAAATTTACAGGAAAGTAATATTAAAATATATTATATATATTATTCTAAAAGTTAGAATTTGAATATAATATGTACAATTTAAGTAAAAAAATAGGGTGAGCATAGGTACTTAAAAAATCATTACGCATAATATTAACGCAAAGCCTAACGAGGGGAATCATTCTTTAAGTAATAAACTATGAAATTATAGAAATATTTTAAACTGTAAAATAATAAATTATAATTATTAATTACACAGAAACGAAATTACAAAAACCAAATTGATATTTATATTGCCTATAGAATTTTAACATTGAAGACAAATCCATAAGCTTTATCTATAACCATACCTACATATTATTACTTATTACAAATTGATGTATTTTTTTTAGCAAATACCCGATGCATCTCCAGTTGGCCGATTTACAACTATATTACCTTTAACTATTAAGTTTGGATTCTCGGCGATTAAATCAATTATTATGGACCTAGTAATTATACTATTTTTTTTAAATATATATTGTTGTTCACTCATCAAAATATGAATTTTCATTTCTCTTATATAGGTACACAAATCATTGATATTTGTTATCAAATTTATTTTTAACCTGCATAAATGATATAAATAAACATTAGAATATTATAAGTTTATAAATATATATTAACTTTATAAATTATAATAAATAATTATTAAAGAATTAAAAAGTAGAATAATATAGGTACCTAGGTTACCTACGTATTTTTAACATTGACTGCTGAATCTACCAGTTAAAAAAAATACTGAAAAACATAGGTAATATGGTATGAGCTATAAATTATAATGATCTATAACAGTTTTACACTCCAAATTTTTTTATCCATCTGCGTAGGTATCTATAGATTTTAGCAAGTGGTATCTGCAACTCAACACCTACTTTAATATGAATGAATTACTCATGTAGAATTCTGAGGGGAGCGATTGTTTTAAATATTTTAATTTTTAAATTATGTTTGTGTGTTTTTTTTTGTATAATATATATCAGGGGTGGCCAAATCACGGCTCGCGAGCCGCATGCGGCTCTCGTCACAGTCGTATGCGGCTCGCGGTCTTATTTACAAAAACCAAAATATTTTAATTTTTTTTTATATACATTTATAAAAAAATGTTTTTATTGTATTTACCTAAGGCTATAGTATTAGTGTATAGAATATAGATTAAATCAAACAAAAAAAAAAAATAATTAATATGAATAATAAATTAAAAAATTAAACATTAAGCTAATTTTGTTTGCGTGGTACTTTTTTCGTGTCTACTTTTTTAGTAAGCTTCTTAAGATCTGGTTGAATTGATGTAAGAGCAATTCTTAGTAATTCTGTAAGATGATCATCAGTCAAATTTGAACGATATTTTGACTTAATTATTTTCATTTTCATTGTTTTCATTGTTGATTCACATGAATACGTCGTTCCAAAAATGTATATAAATTTTACCGCACAGTTTTTAATACTTGGGTATTTTAATATAGAAATATGCTTCCAAAATTCCAATATATCTTTATTACTTTTGTGGTATAGAAGTACACATTAGATAATTTGGCTCTTGACAAAATTTTATTAATACATGTGGCTCACGTACATAGTCATGTTGGCCACCCCTGATATATATGGTATCACCATTTGGAACAGTAAATATACTTTAATCTTCAACTTCCTGGTTGATTTTTGATAAAAAAAACTAGTACATGATTGGAGGGGGGAGGGTAAAATAAAATTATGGAAATATTTTCAAAGCACTATCTTTTGACATAATCATATAGGCATAAATGTAATAAAAAAATGAATAGCCATAAATGAATACTTGAAATTATTAGTAAATATATTATATGTTACCATTTTGAAGTCATTGATTTCAAAATACTTTGGCTATTTTTGAGTTCTTTTTTGACATTTGAAATCGTTCTACTTTTTTAGATGTATTTAATTTATGTATAGCATATTGGTTAGTAAGTCAAAATGGCTAAAATAATTTCTGAAAAAGCACCCCTCATACGTTGTTTTAATAGGTACTTGATTGCTTGACCAGCAGAGTGGGTTTGTCAGTTTTTTTATATTTATTATATTTTTTTTATCAACCTTACCTGCATATTTTTAATCTGAAGTCTTTAGTAACTTAAATGCTTGAAGTGTATTATTTTAATATTAGGGACCTAGATATACCTACCTACTTATATTTTATTATACGTGCCTTTCAAGTTTCAAATTATAATTTATAAAGTAAGTATGTATTAAAAAAGGGTTGCATCCAAAAAACAGCATACTTATGGTGTTGACGGTCAATAGACAAAATCTGCACACTTTATAGGTTTTAGCATACCAAAATATCGTAAACTCTTAAAACCACATATTATTTTCAATCTACAGAGTACAGACCATATGTATTATGAACGTTAAAACTTTTAGCAAGTTTACCAAAAAGTTTGGAATAAGCACTATTACTAAAATATATTTTAAATTGTGATATTCTTACCATCCATAATTACTTACTTTTATAAATAAGATGCCATTTTTATTGTAACAAGTAAAAAAATATTTAATTCTTATATGTAATTATCAATGGTGGGCAAGTTAATGAAAATAATTAACTGTGGAAAGTTAAGTTAATTCAATTAAATTGCCTTCAGTTAAGTTAAAAGTTAACAAAAAAATAAAATTTAACTAGTTAAGTTAAAAGTTAAGATGGAAAATAAAATTAACTTAACTCAGTTAAAAAAAGTTAATTTTTTTTTAAGTCATAATATTAACAGGTATAGGCTGTTTTTAAATATTTGTCATTTAGTACCATTATAATAGTCTATTATTAAAATAAAATCAATGAATAATGATAATAGTATAATACCTACCAAAAATTGTTTCAATATTTATTTCGATAATGTTATTTTCTAATCTCATACGTTTATTTGTATTTATAACGAATACGGCAATATAAATTATAATTTATAAATATCTCGGACGACTTTTTGTTTTGTCTATTGGAATTGTCGTATTTACCAGTAACCAGTATATATTATTGATATAATGATATCCATTTAAAGACTATGATATTTAGTTTTAAACCTGTTTTTAGGAATTGGAGAGTTAGATAAAACAAAAATCGGATTATTCAATACCATTAAATAATATTAAATCATTAAATAATAGAATTCGTGAAAATAGCCAGTCGATACAAGGATAGTATACCAATTATTACTCTTTAGTCTTTACTATAGTACCTATAGATTATAATATAATTTGATTATTACGAATTGATGATATTATATTATTAGAAAAATAAATTACGAAAATGGCAAAATAGAAAGAATAAGTTTTGTCTCTTGGTTCCACATGATAAAAATTTAATTTAATTAACTTAACTGTACAATAATGATAATTAACTTTAAAAAGTTAAGTTTAAACAATACAAAATTTAACTGAATAAGTTAATAAGTTAAAAACAAAAAAAACTAACTAGTTAAGTTAAAAAGTTAAAAAAAAATTAACTTTTTAACTTAACTTTAACTTTTTAACAAGTTAATGCCCACCATTGGTAATTATTATGATCAGTAACTTAGCTAATGGTAATTTATTTTATATTTTTTTATACCTTTAAATAATAAATACTAAATTTTACATTTAAAAATATATACTTACATTTTTAAGATATTTATAAATTCCTTATAGTGTGCAGTTTTTGGATACAACAACCTAAAAAAGTATGTTGTTTTTTCCTATATTTTATCTAAAGGGCATGTGTGGTTTTTGGACACAACAAATAAAAAATAAATAGCAAACTAAAAAATACCTGACCTATACCTATAGAATTTTGAAACGCAATAGGTACATATTATACTATCATAATTGTATATATTTTCAATAGATTAAACATATTAGAGATTATAAGTAATCATAAATGTGTGGAAGTATTAAGAATGGTGTTTTAGTTCAAGAGAGATGGAGTGAAATCGGCATAGGAGATATTATTAAAGTCAAAAATAATAATATCTTCCCAGCAGATCTTGTACTACTTTCATCCAGGTATTTAAACAAAATCAGTCATTTATTTATTGTTATAACAATATAATTTTTAGCGAACTTCAAGGAACTTGTCACATAGAAACTAAAGCATTTAGATGTGAAGTAAATTTAAAATCAGACAATGCGTCAAAGAAAACTCTTATTGTAAAGAATTAAAAGATTGATTGGTTTAAATGGAATAATTGAATGTGAATTGCCAAATAAGTTACTTTATAATTTTTTAGGAAGACTGACAATTATGCCTAATAAGTGAGAAATATTTATATAATTTTTATGAAACCACAATATGATATATGAATTAGTATTGTATACATCTACTCTTATAGTCCTATACCTTTAGATAATATGCAATTTTTACTAAGAGGATCTGTTCTGCGAAATTCAAAATGGATTTATGGAGTTGTGGTATACAGTGGTCATGAAACAAAAATTATGCTTAATCAATCTATAAGCTCATTAAAGAATCAGCTATGAAACCAATTCATAACTCATTACTGAAACTGTTTTTATATTGATTTTTTCCTGAGTCTATGTGTGCTTTATGCTCTCTGTGCGGACCAAACAACAATATACTAAACATTGGTTACCTGAACAAAGAGGTAATGCCAATATAAGTATTTAAATAATTAGTTGTAAATTGAAAATATCTAAATTGTTTCAAAACGTAATAGAAAGTGATATATAGTTAATATATATATAGTTGAGTATACAATTTATACTCTCATATTTTATTATCATCGGAAATAAACAATATGACTAAATAGTTTAATAATTTAAAATTACGAATCTCTTATAATGTAGGTACCTATTATAATTAAAAACTAATGGTGGTAAGTATCTATAATTTGTCTATAATATTATTCTATAATATAAATAAATAAATTTAAAATTTATACTTGCATAATTTGTTTATTGTTTTACTCTAATAGATGTCAACGCATATACATTTCTTTTACAATCAATCAGTTTTTTTGTTATATTTCATAATACAATCCCTGTATCATATGTTTATATTGAAGTTGTACGTTTCTTACAGGTAAAATGTTTACTATTATTTTTTTATTATTAAATAAATAATTGTTAATAAAAGTAAATTATATTGTAATAATATGTAGGTAATGTCAAATAGCCAAATAGATGTACCTATATATTTGTTACATGGATATTACCTATATGAGAATGAAATTTCAATAGATATTAGTATTTTTTACATAAGTACTTTACATCTGAAAATTGAACATTTATCGTTTAAGGTAACACATTTTATGATTCCCATCATACATCTGATATCTAATGGGTATAGTCAATAGATGTAATAAAAAAAATGTTATCATACATCAATACCTACTTATAAGTATCTACACTAAAACAAAATATTTTCAACACATTTTTATGACACATGAGCTTTAGGACTAATTTTATTGATCAGATAGAATTTTATCCATAATTCTAAGTGCTCGGTGGTCACATAAGTTTAAAAGTAGGGAATCTGATATCTGAAGGCTGAAGGCCTGTTCATAGTATACATAATACATGTTAGGTTTGACGTTTTTCGTTTAATTATCGTCAAAAGTGACGGTCAGTCCATTATGTAATTTTCAAATTTAAATTATCTTGTTAAGTTGAAACTAGCTTAAAATTGAAAAAAAAATTGTATGCTTTGGGGAATTTTAAAAACCATAAAAACATTCAATTTATAAAATTCTGAAATGGTTGATAAATATGATACCCAAGTGTATTGGTGGGTAGTGCTACCTATAAGGCTATAATAATTATAGTGTTCAGAGCTTGTAACCCATTTTAGTTTTTAGTAGGTACTCCACCTATAATATTTGCTAGATTTTCAATTATGTTGACTGCTATGATTACTCAATATATATTGTTTCTACAGGATTGGTTTATCAATAATGACATTGATATGTACCAAGAAGAAAGCAACACACCTGCTAGAGTTAGATCACATAATCTTAATGTCGAGTTGGCCAAGGTATTTATTTATTAATTAGGTATTTTTATATTTTTGTTAAGATAAAGTACACATGACTACATGAGTACATGGAACAATTATTGCTATAGTAAATTCCCCCTATTTTATTCATATTTTATACTCTTTTATACTTCATAATCTTAACAAATAGGTACCAGACGGCACCACATACCACGCATGTACAGGTACAGGTACAAAGTAGGTACCTAATATGCCTATTTTGTTGTATCATAATTATTATAAAACATTAAATTTAACTACAATACAATTTTTAATTATAAAGTATAAGCTTAATGATATGTGTAACTGTATTAGCTATAGGTAAATATTATATATATATTGTTCAACAATATATTATATAATAATTAATAACTATTAATAAATAAAAATGTAATTTATTTCAGGTAAAATATATTTTTTCCGATAAAACTGGTACTTTAACTAAGAATGTCATGAAATTAAAACATTGTTCAATTGCTGGAGAACTTTATCTAGAAGGATCTCAAAATAAAATGATAAATGTAAGTTATCTATATTCCATAATCAAATCCAGATCTTATCTAAATTTTAATTTTTTGTTGTAATTTAAAAAAGAAAAGCGGTTGAGACTTAACATTTTGACCAAATATTTATATTAGCATTTTCTAAACTTTATAAAATTAAAGATTATTTGGATATTTTTGTGCTAGATATTTAAAATATTCGACTTTTTTAATTATGTATGATATAAAACAAATGTGTGAGTCAAAAATTGAAACACTGGAGTAATTAATACAACGTTCCTCATAACTTCTTGTATCAATTAAAAAATATTCAAAATACAATTAACTGTTTATTAATAATATAATAGGTACAACGTTTTTGGTTTAAACCAGTTTAACGTTCAACATACTATACTAGCTACTTATAAAGTTATAAATAAATAAATTATTAATAATAATATAATGAATATATTATAAAGTATTCCTAGTATTATAGGCTGGTGACCATTGAGAATCGATTTTTTGTATGTAATGATCTACTATTGAATTCCGATTTAACATATCCATTAAAGTGTTACACTTTTATTTTGAGCTACTCTCCAATAACTAGTTACACCCAAAACCTACTGAAAAGTTGAGTGACTTCCTCCATTTTTAATTATAACAATGATTATTAGGGACTGGAAGTTGAAAAAATTTTTTGTAAGGAATGTCTAAGATGATGCTTTTTAGCGGAAAACGTGTTTTAATAAATAATAATATACAAATGTAAATAACTAATTTCTACCTTGCATTTTTATAACTTCAGTTAAATTTTAACCAATTTTAAATTATCTAAAGAATAATTACAACTTTTTTAGTTCATGATTTATGTCAAATTTTACTATCTAAATAATTTAAATTAAATTTTAAACTATTAATTCGTGGAAATATTTGTATTATACTCCCTATTTCAATCATAACTCTTAACATTCAATTTATAAAATTAATTATAAATGGTACATTATGTATTTAACTTGTAATCTTAATGGTTTTTAAATGATTTTAAGCAGGGCTTTGCACCGGAATAATTTTTTCAGGTTTTGAGTGTTGAAAGAAAATTTGGGTTATTGAATTCGGATGTTAATACCCTTTTCTGGTTACGGTTAAATGCAATTTCATTCGGGTTAATATTTATTATTCGGGAAACATATGTTGTATATCAATTAACATGAGATCTTTAATGCAAATTTGATATAGTAATCCGATTTCATATTTAAAGTAAACATAATGAAAAAATTTAAATATTAAAAAATTAAATTAAATATTAATACTTATTAGTTATTATTTCATTACTTATTACTTAGTACTTACTCAGTTCTTTTTCTACAGAAAAAAGTTCTCAATTATTACATATTTAAATTTTTAACTAAAATATTTTTGGTATATTTATTTTTGATTAAGAATGTTAGACAACACCATTACTATTGTCTATTATTGAATATTGTGAAATAAAATAAAAGAATCATCTGGTATTTTTAATTTTAATTTAATTATTTTGTTAGTTACAAAAAAAAATTGAGTTATCCATTACACACTTACACTACTATCTTCTTTTCTTCTTAGTTGCGTTAGTTGCAAAAAATACATACAAATTGATATGCTACTGAATTTTCAATAATTCGGGTTTCCGGTAAACCCAAATGGAAATTCGATATTCGAGTTATTTTGGGTGTTATTTTTTTTCAATCAGTTTTGTATATACGGGTTTTGGGTTAGGTGTTCGGGTGCAAAGCCCTGGTTTTAAAAGATTATTTTTTAACATTTATGTGTCATCAATTTTCTAGCCCTAAACTAATAATAGTACTTAATTATCTAGCGTCATAGCTAGACTGGTATCCAACATTATGTCTCCGTATTATGTCCAACCATTTAAGTGTTAAGTTATAGGTATAATTATAATTTATATTATAGTATATTATATCATAGTTTATTTGGTAGGTTTATTTTCCTTGAAATAAATTATTATTAAGTAATGATTTGATAGTTATATTCCAACTCATTTCAAAAACTATAGGAAATAAGTTAAAATTGAAAATTAAAAGTTTATTTTATATTGTAGGCACTTACTCTATACCCAAACTGGCTAGAAAATAATACTTTCAAAATTTGGTAAAAAGTGAAATATAGAATTAAATAGGGTTTTAATAAGTAGCATGATAAATGTGTTTCAAGAAAATAATAATTATAAATCAAACTTAAAGGCAAACTTAAGTCATGCGAGTGACTAATAAATAAATATTATTATATCAATATAAATTATACTATAAATATTTACACTTATTAATTAGTTTTAATTATTAACTTAATAATGTTTTATTATTAAGGATACCTACTTTTTATAGCTTATAATTTATAGAACTCAATCAATCACTCGACCAAAAACTATATCTTGGATTTTTTAAGAATAATGTCTGTCTGCCATACAGTTATTCCAGAGAAGTCAAAACTGACAGATGAAATAGTATACAATGCATCATCTCCTGGTAAATACAAATTTATGTGAACAATAATATATTTATATATACCCTCTAAGTCCTAAGATATTATATTAAGGGTGTACCTATTGGCTATTACTGTATTTGTTCTTGTACAGTCAAACATTATATTTCTATCGCCAATACTAGTGGT